TGTGTAAATAAAGAGAAGGTTTTACCCAGGAAACATCTCACACACTGGTGGAAGTGGGAGAGGCTCAATTCCAGGTCAGACAAACCAAGATCTACAGGTCAGGTGCCAGGTAAGCTGGCAGGCTGCTGAGGACTCCTGGGATTGGCAGATGGTAGAGCAAACCATTGGCTCAGGTCCAAAGAACCAGAGCTTGAAAGACGAGCCAGATGCAAGATCCAGACCCCGCAGAAACCAAGCAAGCTTTCCCTAAGCAGCTAATACAGTGGAAGCAGGCCACGCCCCCAAGGAAATGTGCTTTTAATTGATTGGCTGCTCACAGCTGACCTCATTATGGAGATGAGGACATTATATTAGATGGCATTGGTTAAAACTACATCTCAACTGCCAAGCCACTGAGAATCCTGGTCCAGTTAGATTGATATAGAACCTAAACTATCACAAATACAGTTAATTTTGGAAATAGTGGGAACAAGGGGAAGGTCACACTTGTTGGTCTCTTAACTTCCAAGAGCTGCTATACATTAAATACAATAACATAAAAAAACAAGTGCATGGTTTGAGAAGACAGAAATGTACTTTCTCATAGTTCTGGAGGCTAAAAGTTCAAATCAGAGCATAAGTTCTTGGGAGGGTCTTTCCTTGTTTCCTCCAGTTGTCTTGGCTTGTGGGAGGTCCCTTCCACGGTTACCTCCCATCCCCTTGTGTGTGGCTCTCTAGGGTCTGCCATCCCCTCTTGCTTTTGTTGATAAGATATCACTCACAAGGGGTTGTGTGTAGGACCCACTCTTCTGCATGGCCTCATCATGAATGTTGCAAAAGAAGACCCCCATTTCCAAAGTAGGTCACATTATGGAGGTTAGGACTTCTGCTTAATTTTTTCAGAAATATAATTCAAAATCCATAACAGCCTTCCTCTAATCTGTGAACTTGAAGACACTGAGTCATTGTTTTATAAGGAAATGAGCTGTAGATTTGCATCACTGCTAATCTGATATTTAAAGAGTTTAGCAACTGGTATAAAAATGAAACAGTGGATAGAAGTTTCGTGGTGAATGTGGCTTTTATTGAGCCGACACAGGTTTTGGGGCTGTCTCAGGATCCTGACTATGGCTGGGGGTGTGGGGCAGGGCAGGAAGTTCCCTGTCTCTGTTGGAGAGGCCAGAGAAATAGTATCAGCCTTGCTTCATGGGCCGGCCCAACCACTGTTATTCCTCCTTCAGATTGTCCAACTCTCCACAGACACTCAACGAGGAAAGGCTGAGGAGGGCTGCCCCCTGGGAGACTGCAGGGAGCCGCATATCCTCTTTACTGAACATACATGGAGTTGGAGGTTCTGGAATACACAGGCTCTGCTGGGCACTAATAAATAATTAACAGGTCACTACATGTTCTCTCTGAGCTACAACAGTGAAATGCAAAAGTTCTTTTTGCAATGCTCTGTATGTATTTATTTCCTAGGGCTGGGATAACAAATATTAGAAACTTAGGGATTTAAAACACTAGTTCTGGAGGCTGGAAGTCTGAAACCCGATACCCAGTGTTGGCTTTGGAATCCTCCTTTGCCTTTTCCCGCTTCCAAGCTTTGTAGATTGACCACCCCGCCATCTCTACATGACACTCTTCTGCATATACGAATGTCTCTCTTAGTACTTCTTTTTACTACATGGGAGCTTTAAAATGAAAGTGGAGTTCAAATACCATGGAATGTTACTACAAACTCTTTGAAGCCCTGATAGTGTAGTGGTTATGAATCGGACTGCGAACCCTAAGGTCAGCAGTTGGAAACTACTAGTTATCCCGCGGAAGAAAGATGAGGCTTTCTGCTCCCTTAAAGATTTACAGCCTCTGTGGACCCAGTTGGGGACCTGGTTGACAAGCAGTATGAAGAGGCCTGGAGACTCTTGGGCCCAGAG